TGCGCCCTCTCGCTCTTCCACCGCAGTTGTAAGGCCAATAATACCCAAAGGGTAGTGAGAAACCCACCACTGAAGCAGGAGCATCATGGTGCTGCAGCACCACGGAAGTCTTTTGCAGACCCGACTCTTTTGCATGCTTTCAGGTCAGCCACGAGAAGGAGAAGAAAGCATTTTAAAACGTGGTGGTGGTCTTTGAAAATGGTTCACTTTAACTTGTTGTCTTCTTGAAAACTGGCAAGAAACTGTTGAGTTGGCCCCGAGGCATTTCTCTGGTGCAAGGCTAATCCTCAGCAGGTCAGAATGTAGAACAATAATCCATATGGAGAGTGACTGAGAGTGACTGAAACGGAATCAGAACAAACTGCACAGCAGTCTGGCTGTTAGCCCTCTAGGAAATTTGCCAAATACTGTGTTATTTTTTTTATTTAGCTCTCTGCTATTTAAAGGCAGTCCCATCAGGAATACAGCCTAAGGCATCCCAGTCCTGCGCTGCCAGGAACACTGCACAGAGGCAGCTCTGAACTGGCCAAGGTGGCCATCAGATCTCATGCAATCTTGGAGGGACGAGGAAAGTCTACCATTTTTCAGGGATGGATGCAGGGGACACAAAAATGACTCCCTTCCTGGATGGGATGGGACAATAGGAACCCCTGGACTGCCAATTGGTTTGGAAGTGTGTTGCGTTCGAAGCATTTTTCTGTTTCAGGGACAAGTGTGGTATCATGAGGACCAAACCCTACCGTCTTTAACTCATCCGAGCCATCCTAACCATGCCAAGTGATGCCCTGTCTACTTGTGTCAAGAAAAAACAAAATCTGTGCTGAGGTGGATGCACTTTTTGTTTACCAAATCTTTGTTATTGTAGGAGAAAGAGGAATTAGAAGGAGGAGGAGTTCTCCTTTGCAGGCTGCGAGTGTGTCTGGCAGCAGAGGAGCAGGAGCACTTCTCGCTGGGGCAGCAAGCCCCAACCCTCTGGACCCCTCAGCGCTTTCACCAGAGCAGGGTGACAGAAAGGGAGAGACAAATGCCAGGTTTGATTACAAAAATGAGGCTCGCCATCTTGCAAGTGAGGAAGTCCACATCAGAGCTGAAGAATCTGCAGGGTGCATTTTAGAGCTGGCCTATATATAAACTCAACATTTTGAGAGAGTCTATACATCAAGAGAGCTGACAGAAAGAGATCAGGAAAATATTCATATCTTTTCTGTTAACTCTTCCAGCATCTTTCTGGAAGAACTGGTTGGACCTGAGCTTGCAAAAAACCTCAAATCTGTCAAACATTTTATCAAAGCAGGAGTGATCTGCTCTACTGGAAACCACAGGAATCCCTCAGTGTGTTTCAAAAGGGAAGAGGAATCAATGTTGTAACTTTTTTTTTTAAATCTTTTCCCTTTCTGATCCCTTAGAAGGCAGTGTATGTCTATAAAACCTTCTTAAGTATCCCTGAATTACTGCCAAATAAGTTCAGTATTATATTAGGCAAAGAATATGATAAAATAAAAACTAGGTGTCTAGCTATTCTCCATTCCCTCCGAGGTGATCTGTTTGTGCTGCTCTTCAGTTCCCAGTCCATCGCTTCTCCTACCCGTCGGAGGCTGCTGGTTTAGACCAGTAACAGGAAGGTAACAGAGGCAGAAGAAGAGGTTTCTTTTCTCATCGGGGAAGTTTTCTGATCTGCTGTTGTAAAAAGTCTCCAAAGGTGACCTAAGGTTTTCAGAGAAGCATTTTACAGACTTTAAAACATGAGAACACACTGAAATATCAGTTTTCAATATCGCTTCTCAACTTTAAGACGGAAAGGTCTGGCTGGAAAATCACCAAGACTTAGGACAGGAATTATCACCCAGCGCTACCCTGCATTCAGTATTTATAAAGGAGTCTGATTTATTGTCTCTTCCCCAAAGTAAAGACTCTATCCACGTACCCAGGCAGGTCCCCCCCCACTGCCACTCCTCACTGCAGAGGCATTTCACTCCACGGTCTCGTCCAGGGGAAAAGCAAAGGGCTGCTGCTGCCCAATCCTAACGCAACCGAACACTTCTAACCCTCTGCGATACCTCGAGGCTTAAAAACTAAGAAGAGGCATAAATACCATTTAAATTAATGACATAACACAATCAGGAGAGGGAACAACACCACAGCATATGATTAGGAGCAGTGCAAGCAGCCCAGGCTGCCTCCTCTACCCCAGCAGGCATCTCACATCCACACGCCATGCAGGACGGAGCCCACCCTGGTGTAAAAGGAGGAGCACCGCTCTGGGACTCACCAGCTGACACGGGGTATTTCAGCAGCAGCTTATCTGACAGAGAGAGCCAAGACTCCACTTACTATAAATCAACAATAACTTGCTGACTTAAACAAGCATCTGTTATTTACTCTGGCTGCACAAGCCAATCCATTTGGCCTTATACAGAATTGGTGTATAGCAGAGACACATATCTGTAAATTATTTACTTGGGAAAAATATGCCAAACTTATTATCTATTAATATTATTTGACTGTCCTATTATGGCAACAGGACGCTGTTGTCCCCTGTGGCACAGCCCCGATTCTTCCCTGAACTAGCGCTGGCAAGTTCAGTCCTGGCATGCATGATGAATGAGGAAAAATGCGACTCCGAAAACGTGCAGGATAATGCTAGAATTAATCTAGAAGCAGTGCTCCGACAACAGCAGGTGAGCAACCATCAGTTTGGGACCTCTGCTCGACAGAGGAGTGACATAAGGCGCTCCCATCCCTGGGAGATGCCATGGCCTGTAACACCAATTGCCAACGGTGTGCCAGTGCACCAAATAAGAAGATGGAAGATTGATGATTTGTATTGGTTCATCACTCCAGAAAACAAGTCTGTTGTGTGATTTACAAGCACATTACGTTACTGGACAGTTAGGCTTCCACAATCGAGTCTCTCACTCTGCTGCCAAGGAATCGCGACTCTTAACTGCAGTTAGAAACCAGACGTTGCTGACCCACAGCCCAAGGAAACAGCTGGGCTAGGTCCTTCTACATGCTAATCACCAAGGAAAGATGGTGCAAAGACCTTGCTGTTGAGAGGAAACATCTGGGCTTACAATTATCTCTGGAGAGCCTGGCACTACAGAGCTGGACATGAAGGAGAGGTTGCTTTCTCAAAGGTTGGGGTGAAGGATCATGGACACCAAGGTCAGAGCATGGCTCTTGATGGACAGATAGTTCTGCCGCTTTGCAGGTATTGAGAGAAGTGACCCTCTGAAAGGGATGCAAGAGAGGAAAAGCATCCCCTAAATTTGGAGTTGTGGGTCTGAGATCGCAGGAGGGCTGATGGGAACTTAAAGCACCCTTGAGAGTCAAGAGGAGAAGCAGGAACTGACTGCTAGGGGTCTCACTACGATAATCAGGCGTTGAAAAGGATTGTGTTTTGGCAAACTGGTTTGGCTACTTTTTGAGGGCAATCTGTAATGTGGAATGACAAACATAGGACAAAGAAGTCAATTTATCCTTGAATTTTCTCTTTTAGTAATTTAAGAGACCTTAGAAACCCACCACACTTTGTTCCCACCGCTCTTTTTGCCTCAGTCCCCTTGGCTGGGCAGGCTCCCCAAAGCAAGGCTGCTTAACCTCTTTCAACAGGAGGAAAATATCATGATGCTGCAAATGCCTCCAGCACTTATATGTTAATGACTTGACTGCTGATGAGAGAACTTGTGTCAGTAGCACTTGACTCTCAGGCTACTTTGGTAGAGAAAGCCAACCCTAGGAGGTGGGAGTGATTTTCCCTCCTCTCTGTATGCATTACCTTCAGCCGCCCGTTTGAAGAAGACTTTACAGCTACCACAAGTGAGGGCTCCATAGTGGCACCCAGATGCTTCATCTCCACAGATCAGGCAAGTCTTTTGAGGTGGAAAGTAATAGTCAATGGGCAAGACATGTTCACGGCCAGTCTCCAACCTGCAGTGTAAAACAGAAAGAGAACAAGGGAAAGGGTCAGCAAATGGGGTTAGGATGAGCTATGGGTGAGCACAGCGGATGGCGCTTGGGAGAACGTTCATGGCAAAACTCAAAATTTCGGTGATGGGACAAGGCAAGCACTGATCAGAAAGGAGGCAAGCAATGACTAAGCCAAACCTCGCTCTGACCACGCGGAAGACCATGCTGGGGTGCTCTTCCTGACATTGCCCCTAGGTACAATATGTGACAATGTGTGACAAAGTACAGGCACGGTGACAGCACAGCCTAGAAAAAGAAGACAACTGGCACTGGCTGTTGCAGTGTTCATGTAATTTTGGCTTCAATAGAATCATAGAATCATTAAGGTTATAAAAGACCTCTAAGATCATCGAGTCCAGCCGTCGACCCAACACCACCATGCCCACTAAACCATGTCCCTAAGCGCCTCATCTACACGTCTTTTAAATACCTCCAGGGATGGTGACTCCACCACTTCCCTGGGCAGCCTGTTCCAATGTTTAACCACTCTTCCAGTAAAGAAATTTTTCCTCATGTCCAACCTAAACCTCCCCTGGTGCAACTTGAGGCCGTTTCCTCTCGTCCTTTCGCCAGTTACTTGGGAGAAGAGACCGACCCCCACCTCGCTACAGCCTCCTGTCAGGTGGTTGTAGAGAGCCATGAGGTCTCCCCTGAGCCTCCTTTTCTCCAGGCTGAACAACCCCAGCTCCCTCAGCCGCTCCTCATCAGACTTGTTCTCCAGACCCTTCAATAGTGAGGCTTGTACATCAAAAAAGGACTCTGCATGCTCATTAAGCTACATGATCCCACTCCATTAAGGTCATTGTTGTCACTTCATTACAGATGAATTTATCCTTTTGATTCTTAATTTAAACAAATTGATTTTTCCTAAGCTATCAAACTCCCTTAAGCTATTCTTTTCTTCTTGCTTTTTTGACTTGCTTGTTTTCTACCTATCCCCTCTTTCAATACCCAGCAACGGCTGGACTGAACCTTCTTCCAGGACGCCTTGCTCATCCACATGACTACTAAATCAAGCCAGAAGCCTCTAGTGAAAACACAAAACATTTGCTGTGAATGTGTCCCAGTAGACTCCTGTTTATACCCATCCCATGACTAAAGGCACTGCCTCTGTGTCTCCCAGTCACATGAGGTACATTGGGATAGTGCCACCGAGGTCCCTGCCCTGGGACGGCCCCATGGGCAGAGCACGGCGCTGCCAACCACCAAATGGCGAAAACAAACCTCAGAGCTAAAAATAAAAGTTGCAGAGTTTGCCATATAATAATTATGATTAAATGCTGGAAGCGGGTCAGTGTGGATTATGGAGCTTCATATTTTCCACTCGCCAGCTCAGGAGTCTGAAAGACCCATTTTGGGTTTTCACTCCGGGTAGCTGGAAACAAGGATGGGGACGGAAACCAGCTTTTAGCAGGGGCAGAGCACGGAGTCCCACGAAGACCTGGGGCCATCTTTGCCTGTTGCTGCTTTCCCCAACCCCCAGTTTTGACATAACCTCTTCCAAGGTCTGCTGGGGAAGCACGAGGAGCCTCCTGCAGCCCGGGCAGAACCCAAGCAGGTGCCAAGCACAGTGAGAGGACTGCGACGGTGCCGGGGTGCTCAGTAAGCAGAGCTCTGCACCTCCACCCCTCCTACCGCTCCCTGGCCAGCACAGCCCGCAGCTCACATGGTGCTGCAAATGTGGGACCGGGTCTCCGCGAGTTGGGACCTTGTGGGAGGACTTCACCCACGAGTGCCGCGCTGCACCGCGCTGCCCGCGCGCGCCAAGCTGACATAGTGCCAACCAGCCACATCAACCACAGCACCGACGCGCTCCGAGAGCCAGCCCTCCTCTCCGACCGCCTATTCCTCACCCTTCCCTCCATCCGCATGCCCAAACCCTTTCCTCTTGGCTGGTACCCGTCCTGCCGCCTCCCTCCTGACACACATTGCCACACACTTATTCGATCAGACCTATGGAGAAGCTGCTTTTTCAGAAGGCATGGCAGCAGGAGAGATGCTTGTCAGAATCACAAGTCAACACATGTCCAGGCAGTACGGGGAGCAATAGCACTTTAAGGTATTTGCTAAAACTGGCTTTTTGTCAAAACACCGGATGAGGCAATTAGTTTCTAACAGTCAGTAGGTCACCGCAACTTTTTGGTCAAAATCAGATCTGCTTTTGGTTTCTGGTATTGTTTGAATGCTTGCAGGCGAGCTCTTAGAAATCAAATTATATTAAGAGTGAATGTGACAGTGCCAGGACTTCTTGGGAAAAATCTTTATACTCAGAAAAGCCCCACTTGGGCTCACAGTGTGAATACACCCAAAATCCACTGAAACAGAAAATAGCCCTGGGAGAGACGGCAGCCCGCACCCATACGGTGAATCTTCTGAAAAGTCTTACAACTTTTAGAAAAAGGGATCAAACACCAACACAGACCCCAGGGCAAGGGAACACTGTCCTGTTTCTCAGTCCCTCTGCCCCAAACTGCCGCCCGTGGCCTGTGCCTCTCTGCGTCCTGCAGGTAGCTCTGCCCACCTGGGTACAACACAAGCAAGGGGACATCTCACACACTGAAAGAGCAGCTGGCAGTATTGAGGTTTAATTAAGGGAAGATATGCGTGGTGTCTGTGCTAATCACCAGCTTTTCCACTGGGGTTTCCATCTCCGTGGTAAGTTATAATGCACGGCACTGCTGCCTTGCACTTGCCGGGCTGAGGCTGCAGCAGGCACCGGGGCAGGCGGCCCCACGCAGTCCCCCACCCCCCCCCCCCCCCCCCCCCCACCCTCTCCCACCTCCTCTCCCCCGTCTCGTTTCACTACTCCTAAAATGCAGGGAGATCCTGCAACCTGCACTTGCACAAGCAGCAGTCCCAGGGTCATCAGGATTAAAGCTACTTATAGTGGAAGAGCTTAAAAAACAATCACTCTTAAGGAGAACTGTGGCAAGGACAACGATGCGCTCACATAGGGGCAGCTGCCTGGTTATCATCTTTTGCTCAGATATTTTAATTCTGGTAATAGGAGTAGCTTCTTTAGTCCAGACTATCCATTCCCTTTTGTTCTGCTTCCCAAGAGACATAAACTAAACTGAGGAGACAGAGGTTTTAAGTGAGAAAAAGTGTTTCCTCAAGAACAGATGAGGAACCAATATTTGACTGGTTTCAATCTTGCCATAGGCTGAAAAATACTTTCTGATGCAGGCAGGACTTAAGGGACTGTTGCTGTTGTTATGTGAACAACTAGCCGGGATGCTTAATTTTAACCAAAGACTAACTCTGTTACCAGAGTACCGGTGCGGCTTGCCTTTCACACAGGTCAGGGCTCTTTGCTGAAGTACGGCTGTCTTTTCTAAGCCCCTCGCACCTTGAGAGTAAAGCATGAAATGGGACAATTATTGGTGAGATCAAAACCCAGGCTCACCTCTCTCCTCTGATCTTGCTGTCAGTTGTGTCCTTCAAGAATGCTGTTATCTTCTATTCCTCATATGAGAGCTATGCAGATCCTACCAAAATTGTAGGTTAATAACTGGAGCAGCAATTTTATCCTCTGTTCTTAAGGCAAGAAACATTTTGAGCGTTTTCACATCTTTTTAGCAGCAGCAATCAGAATCAGTGACTCATCCGTAGATGCTGCTCAACTATCCTTCCCCGACAATCTCAATTTCCAAGGCTTTTCTTGAATTACTGATTAAAGGAGGAGATACAGTCGGCTGCAACATATCTGCCATAGTTAAGTCCTGATGCAACAAACATGGCCCTGCGTCGCCCTCCCCAGCATCTGCCCATCCTCCCGGCACAATCCCACTGTCCCATCCCCAGCAGGGGCCCAGGGCACCCCCGCTTCCCCCGTGCCACGTCCGCACAAGCACCCTGTACAGCACAGCCTTGGCACTCAGTTTGAGGTGCTACTGTAGAGCAGACACTACTAAGAAATAACCAGCAGCAGATATAAGAACTTTGCCAAAAATGCCTTATTTGTCCAGCAGTTTTTTAGATTCCAGCAGTACCAGACCCTTCCTCTAATGACCCGTTACCTTTTTTCTCCTCTCTATGCAACCAGAAATCTGAAAAGGGCTAATTTATCTTTTTCCATAAGGCCTTCCATACTGTGCTTTCCCTATTCTTTGCACTGTGTATTTCAGATAGGAAATGAGCAAAAGTGACTCTCACAGTAGCAGCTGTTGTGATGACAGAAGCAGGACCCCCAGAAGACCTTGGAGTATTTTTGAGGCTTTATTACTTAAAGCTGAAAACTGGGTTAGCAATTAAGGCTTGAGTGGCTTTTTAAACAGCTTTTTAAATAGCTGTTTCTCCATGAGAAGAGTTGTGCAAGTACAAATATACCTTCATGCAGGTGTGTATTTAGTGTACCTATATATGCGCATCTACCCACAAAGGGTGCTGAGCAGAGCGTCCCAGAGGCGCTCGGGCTCTCCCCGCAAACCCCTGTGTGCTTGGGCAATCTCACCCCCCGCTGCCCGTTTACTGATGGAAATCAGAGGGAGCTGGCAGACACTAAAGGTTAATCCTGGCTGTGAGACGGGCTCATCCCCCAAACCTTCGGGGTTTGCACAGGGGAGCATTCAGCCCCAGTGCCCCTTCGCGTCAGGAGATTGATGTTTTGGCTGCTGCGGAGCGGCTCGGCTGCAGGCTGAGCCCCGCAGCACCAAGGCGGTTAAAGGTGATTTCCAACACACTCCTGCACCTTTACTACCGGCAGCCACTGTCCACAGAGCGGAAGGATTTGCCCAGGAACGCCCTTGATTTTAAAAAGATGCCAATTTGCCTTTTCTTTTTTATTTTTAGAGGAAAATTGTAAGAAAAACATAACTGCAAACATGGGCAACTCGGAGTGAGCTGTGATAATGCCACCTTTAACGATCTGTTTTCCAGTTTCTAAGAGACCTTTTAAGGGCGTTCTCAAAATACGTCAGTAATAACACTGCAATGAGCCAAAAAGATGGCTTACGGAGGCTGCAGGGGGGGGTGAACCGGCAGCTTTCTGGGCAGAGCCCCAGGCACCCACTTGCACAGGGGTCCCAGCGAACAGCAGCGTTCGCAGCTCCTCCGCCCCTGCACAAGGGACAGGAGGGCCGGCTCAGCAGCAGGCTCACGATGCACCGCTCAAAGCTGTCCTCCCAGCGGAAGTTTTTACTCTGTCGGTACCTGCTGATTGCAC